ATTTCTGCACACTTACTCCATCCATCCATTGTCTTCCACTTATCCTTTTCAGGATTGTGAGGGGGCTGGAGCCTATCCCAGCTACCAGAATACAGAGAGACAGAGATATATGCTAACTTATATTTTTAAATTGTATTAAGGCTTAAAGTTATGGAATATTAAGGGTGTGGCCACTTTGAGAGACGGAGAACTGCCTACTAGGTGGGGTCTGTCACATTACCAGCAGCTTCAAGTCACTGAACTACACTACTGAAAACCTATGGATGAGAGGGTGTGCACATTTTGGCAGGCTGTTTCTAGCACTAAGAAAAAATGGATAAAATGTAATGTAAATATAAATAAATAAGTGCCTCACAATTGTAATTATGTAATGCTTTAAAGGATATAGTGTTGAAAATGACTCAGCCGAGATAAATGTGAAATATAAATGCAAACAGTCTACTGGTAATGCAGCCATACACATGCTCAAGTGACGTCCACATAAATGCCGTTAGTTGCATCACAGCAACTGACAGTGAGTAGCCACACAGACCTCTTTTTGATGAGTGCAGGATGGGTAGCAGGAGTATCTGGTGAGGAAAGATGTGCTTGACAACATCACAAATTAACAGTCGCAATGACAGCAGATGTTCATGTTGGGTTGTGCGTGTGTAAGTGGTGTTTGCGTAGTAGGGGTTGTTTCTGTTAGCGTCTGCTCTGCTGATGCTCCGATAAAGAGTGTGTGTGCAGCGGGCGGAGCACCCATCAACAAGTCATTTCATTCTGAGGATGTGGATCCCTGCAGCTCACAGATAAAATGCAAGGCTGAGAGCAGTGAACCTGCTGCTGGTGTGACTGTACAAGCCTCGAAGCTTGATTTCAGTTGCCACTGACTGTAAATTAATTTAGGGGTTGGCTTGGCTTTTGAGATCTCCTGTAGTGAAATGTCTCAGGTTATCTTTCTTCTCCCTCCTCTTGTAAGTTATAGTCTTTGAAATGTCCTTTAAGCCCAAGCAGCAGCTACGTAGTCCCCTATAGATCACTACGAGCTGCAGGTGGAGTATTTTAAACGGAAACCCTTTGAGAAAAGTCATAGATAAATTGGTGTTAACTTGAAGCTCAATGGGAAAAGTGCAAAATAGTTCATAAAATGGAACATTAGTGGATGGAAATGTTTATTCAGGCTGGCCAAAAGCTAAACTCAGCCATGGTCTCTGCAGATCAACTTACTCAATGCCAGCTTAGGCAACATCCTGTTGCAAGTAGGGTTACCACACTGTTTAAGCTTCTTTAACCTGCACATAGTTGCTAGAGCGGCAGAGCCATTGCGCGGTGGTGGTGGTGGGGGAATTAATAAAAAAAAGAAAGAAAGAAGAAGCTTAGACACTGCTAGCATAATGGACAGGTTTTCTACGGGGCTCCCACACAAATGCAAAGCTGAGGATGAGGCATTGCCAAATACTAGAAAATATGGTGAAGCATATCTTCCCTTTGGCTTCACCTGCACAACTGCCACGGTAGGTCTCCCCGACAGAATTGGTTTTCCCTGCGTCGGAAGCACACGCTGGGCTCTCCAAATCACAGACAAACAGTATCCCACATTCTTGATTTTCAGTTGACTAAATACTCCTGACATTTTAGAGATGTTAGCTCTTTATACAGTAAAGTTACTGTGGGATACAAATAATCCTGCCACAATTTGTTCCCCCTGTCCAAATCACAGACAAACAGTATCCCACAGTTGTTTATGTTTTTGAACCCATTTTGCACAGAGAGGCATTTTTTTGAAAAATGCAATGCTGAATATTATTACACAGGAAAAAAATAACTACACGTAAAATAATTACACCGTGACGCCTCTGCATTTCTAAATGGAGGGACAGTAACTGCGTGTGTAAATGTAAGCATAAAACCTGAAGATAGTCAGATTAACAGTAACAGTATTTTGTCTCTACCCGCGATTGTAGAAATTCATCTCATGTAAACAGTAATGTGGCGCAGAGTGTGAAAAAAGGCACATACCTTTGACCTTGCATGACGAACTCCGTATTCCTAAACTAACCTCAACGCCAGCTGCTCCTTTGGTGCTGCTTAAGTTTGAATTTAATGTCATGTAGATTTTCTACTGATGCCTGCACTGTCTGGACTCTTGCAGCTGCTCTACAGCTGAGCCATATGCCAAATAAGGTGACTATTGACTAAAGTCAATGTTAACCAAGGTCATTCAGGACGTTTATTCAGCTCAGCTTTGTAGCAAATGAACAAATCTTAAATATACCAATCAGGAATAACATTATGACCACCTGTGTTGTGGTCCCCCTTATTGCTGCCAAAACAGCCCTGACCCATCGAGGCATGGATTCCTCTAGACCGCTGATGGTTTGCTGTGGTATCTGGCACCATGATGTCACCAGTAGATCCTTTAAGCCTTGTAAGATGTGAGGTGGGGCCTACATGGATCCGACTTGTTTGTCCAGCACATCCCACAGATGTTTGATTGGACTAACATCTTTGAAATTTAGGCTGAGTCAACACCGCAAACTTGTTGTTATGCTCCTCAAACCATTCCTGAACCACCTTTGCTTTGTTGCAGGGGACATTATACTACTGAAAGAGGCTACATGACCCATGGTTCACCACTGTTCCTTCCTTGAGCCATTTTTGATAGATACTGTTGATTGCGTGGCCCATGACCCCAATACAGGAAGTCTGTCTCTCGACAATACTAACCACTGCAGAGCCAAAACACCCAAAAATGCTCCAGTTTTGGGGATGCTTTGACCTGCGCTCCCAATCTAAATTTAGCCCATGTCAAACTTACTCAAATCATTATGCTTGCCAATTTTCCCGGCTTCACTGTGTAGTCTGCTTTACTAAAAAATATTCTGCAAAAACTAAACATCCAAAATTGCACCGGGCTCATTAAAAGGAAAAATGGCCCTAATAAGAGAGCTGTCAGTTAAAACAATCGAAAGGATTATAAAGCTTTCTCGAGAAGAAAATCTGACACAGTTCACACAAAAGATGTTGATTTTTTCCACTCGGCTGTGTCTAAAATTTGAAGGAAGTACAAAAAAATGGAAAGGTTATAAAAGGAAAGCATATATGGGTAGATGGAAGACAGAAAACTCAAAGGACAGAATAAGAAATTCAAAGCAGTATACAGGAGTCACTGTTTGTGACAGAACTGTAAGAAATAAAGGGTATGTATAAATTAAAATATACCTTCAATGCACATCAAATTTTGTGTGCATAAAAGGTATATGATGATGATGATTTTTGAATATCTCAGAAGGCTATTTGCAGTGTGGAATTACCTGTATAAATTGTATCATTTTGCTCAACCAAAAGGAAATACCTGTGTTCACAGCACTCAGTTGACTCATTCTGAAGCTGTTCAAAATGCACCTCAGAGGCTGAAGCACAAGCAAAGCACCTCACCAAAGGCAGGACAGTCACGATGCCCTGCAAACAAAGGCATAATCATCAGAGCAACCAATCTGCTGCTCAGAGCTCCCATTAAAACGTGATGCACACACATTTTCTTCACACATTGACTCCTTATCACCTCGGATGTTGTCTTTAAAAGAGATCCCATCATCAAGGATTTGTCAGAATGTGTCAAATGCACAAAAAGAAAAAGGGATTTTCAAAGCCATTCTTATAAAGCTTTATAAAAATGACTGAAAAATGACACTGTCGTTGAAATTATATATTAGAAAATGTGTTTATTTTTGAAGCAACATCTTTTCCCCCCCTGTTTTTCCTGTTATATATATTTTATATAAAACATTTGGTTTTCTCTGGTATTAGAAATAGATTAAGAAAACAATCAGCCAATAAGTTGGTATTGAGAATAATACATAAGCAATTAAAAGATGGTGTCTTGGTTGCTATTGGTGAATGCAACTTCAGTCTATGGCAATTTGTTGCGAATAAAAAATTAGACTAAAGTTGCACTGATCTTGTTTCTGAGTTTGCCAAGTCATTTTTAAGTCATTTTTTAACATACAAATGGAAAATTGCGCTGGTTTTTCTTCTGCTAAACTTGGTCTGTTTCACTACAAACTCATCTTTGTTTGTTGTTATGTGATTGATGGCTGAAAAAAAGTTGCTACAATAAGTTATCTGTAAATTGATCAGAAAATTAATTGCATCTTTTTAGCAAACAGATTAATCATGAAAATATTTTTCAAAGCAAAAATGGTTTGCCTCACATCAAGAAGCCTGAGCTATTTTGTATGCCGTTTGCATGTTCTTCTGGTGTCTGTGTGGGTTCTCTCCAGGTACTCGGCTTCCTGCCACAGTCCAAAGACATGCAGTTAGTGGGGTTAGGTTAATTGGTGATTCTAAATTGCCCATAGGTGGAAATGATTGCCTGTCTCTCTGTGTTAGCCCTATGACAGACATTTCCCCTATTGAGGCTGAGATAGGGTCCACCCCCCTGCGACCCTGAATTGGATAATTCAAAGAAAATGGATGGATGATTTATTTCCATCTTCTGTACTGTGAGCATTTATTGCTTTAATCTGCTTCATATCTGGAAAAAAATCAAAATTATATTTCTTGAAAATTTTCACAATTATTTTCATAATTTGTTTGTGAAAACTAGCTTTCTGCTTGTTCTCCTTTTTTATCCAATAAAATTAATCAATTAATGTAATAGACAAAACGTGCTGAGTTAGTCTTTTATAGATTGCTAAATTCCATTGTAAAGTATGTATTTTAATTGGGAGTTAAATAAATTTGACATTCACAGTCCTCCATACTTTCCACCACGGGCTTTGCTGTGATACACAACAAAGTAAGGTAACACTGAAAGTGAATTGTAATCCCCCGCTTTACTGAAAATAAATTCCTATATATCTCCACTTAGTAAGCTTATTCTGGCTCAGTATTACACAACGATTCTGACTGAAAAGGCAATCAATCTAGTGGGCTGCACTGCCGACTTGCTGCATCACAACAAACTCCACCAATCAGGCCACAGCCTCATGCGTCTCCGTGGTAACAAAGCTTCCTCAGTCCCAAAGAGGTGGAGACGGCAGAAAAGGGAGCGCAGAAGAGAAATAGAGGTGGATGGGAGGAGAAAGGAGATAGAGGAGAGACAGAGAATCGATATCTTCTCTGATTTCACTGTGAGAATTTAGAAAGTGAAGCTCCTTACCAGAGCGGGGGTGAACCGGTGAAGATAAGCTGACCAAAGACGGAAGAGGAAGGGAAGCGAGGGTGCGTGCGCTGGGATTCTCTTTAGGATTGGAATCTGCAATGGACCCTAAGCCTGTATTTAGTGGATCAGTTGGGTAGCTTTGAGGTAAACACCCAAATGATTTATTTGATTATACATGATTATTTGCTTGTATATGAAATACTGCCAAATGGAGCATTCGTTTGTTTTCTCCTCCAAACTGCACTGTTATGAACGTAAATGACATGATGGTAACATAAATGCTGCCTGCTGGACTGTGGTTCACTGTGGTCAAGGCTGACTGGAGTGAGGATCTGCAGGTGGGAAACTAAGGCTGTGAATAAGTAATGGATTCATGTTTGATGTGTGGGCTTTAGCAGTATTCACTTTTCTTTATCAAATACCACTTTAAAAAAGAAAGAAAAAGAAAAACCTTATTTTTTTAACGTTTCTATAATCAAACACTGTAACCCTGTGGATGTGGGGAAAATGCTAGTTACAGGTTGTAGCCAAATATCTGAAAGAAAATTACCTCCTCTTGCAAATTGTGTGAACCAACTTGCATGTTGATTATTTAGCTTGAAAGAATCAAAATATAAACCTTTAGATCTGGTGAAACATCATGTCATTAACGTCCTGTGGCTGCAAGCTGGGTGGTGATGATGTGCTGCACGCTGAGTTTTTCATGCCTGAGTTATGATAACAAATCATCATACGAGACTCTGCTCTGTACAGAGTAACGCAAATATCGTTTGCTAATTTCCTACTGGATCATTAGGCAGTACATGCCTGTCTATGAAATCCACATCTGCAGCTAGTGTGGAAGGAAAACTGAATTACGCAACAAGCGCACACAATACAGTACTTGACTCTTGGGGTATCTCATGAAATCAGGGGGGAATCAGACTTGCTGTTGATTTGTCTGTGTGTATGTGGCAGATGTTGTGCCCCAGCATATGTGTTCTCATGTGAAGACTGTTGTGGTGTGTTTTACATCAGTGTGTGCTATGATTACTGAATGTAGAGCACAATCCCATCGGGGGATCTTGTCAGTGCAGCACGACTCCTCTAAGTGCCAAAGAATCAAATCAAATGTATCCTGATGCATCCGACTGTGATGTGTAACAAACAGATGATGCACTGGCCTCCTGCTCTTAGATGTTGTGTATGTGATTGTGACAGAAACACATTATTCATATCATGGTCGTAGGGTTTGTTTGAGGATCTGTGAGGGAACACGTTAAGTAGGGGATCAGGGAATCCCCCTGAAGTAAGCTGAGAGCATTGGACACATAGCTTAGATTTCCATTATTTTGAGTCAGAAATCGTATTTTTTGTAGAAAAAGATTAAGCAAAAGGTAACAGTTTGCCATACTGTTCATTCTAACTAACTCTTCTGCTTCTTTTATATCTTTATTAGGAGAACAAATGCATTGGAGTGGATGTGTCATGTGGATTCCCCCTATGGGTCACCTACATTGGCCGTGTACTTTGCACAGACTCAGGGGACTTGGCAGAGGAACAGGAATTTAAAAAACTTCAATATGAGATGTGCAGACAAGTAAGGTGCAGAAAATAAACTAACTGAAAGCTTAAAAAGAGCTCCACAAGAGGATTTTATTTTAAATTAATCAATCCATTTTTCTTAACCACTTCAATTCAGGGAGGCTGGTTGTGAGAGGTGGCAGGTGGGGTACACCATGGAAGGGCCAGTCCATCTCAGGTCTGACACTGAGAGAAAATTTAGAATGAGCAGTTAATGCTTTTGGACTGTAGGAGGAAGTCAGAGTACCCAATTATTTGTGGGTCTATTATTCATGGTTTTTTTTGTTAGAAAAAAAATCGCATAATAACAAAGCCTGTAATAAAAGTATGAAAACACTGACAGGAGAATTATCTCCTGAACCTGGATCTGCTCTTGGCTCTACAGAGCTGTTTGGCTCCAGCTTCACTGCTTCTGTTGGCTGTTCTGTTTGGCAGCAGGTTTAAGACAACTATAAAAAACGAACAAACAAACAAAAGCTGCAAAAAGCAGACACACACAAAGACCAGCTGGTGACCATCATGCACCATTTAGTAGCTACAGAGCCAGAGATTTCCCCTCAGGTGTTTGTGAGGCCAAAAAAAAAAAAAAAAAGTTGAATTCTGGACTTGATGACAATGCACCTTTCACAAACTAAATATTCTCAGCTGAATGAAGCAGTGCTCATTAAGGTGGGTTTTAAACAGCTTCTTTGAATTGTAGGCATCTTGGTTTTGAATCGAATGTGCAAAAGTCTGTTAGATATGGAGCCTAAAATATGAATGATCAAAAGAACAGAACCAGGATCAGGAAGCTAGTTTAAGAGTTGAGAGCTTAAGAGACTAGAGAAATGGTGCATATGCAACATAATGCTTATGTTGTTGGTGCCTGTTTGATAAAATGTCTATCTTTTATCAGTTTATTAATAAATATACAGTTAGTCTCATGTATGCTACATTTGTCCAGGGCATCTTCCATGAGGAGCCCAACATGACCCTGAACATTGTCAGTATCTTTAGCATCTAGACTTGCTGGCGGATCATCTCATAACCCACTCACTGGGATGGAATGGTCCTCAGTGACGGGGACCTTCCACATGGACACACAAAAGAAGTGGAAGTGGGTAGAGAGAGGGTGTCAACTTTAAAAAAACCTAATATGTTCATGTTCTGTTAATTTCTATTGACCCTAGTGCTCAAACAAACTGGTTGGAGAATCAGTCGAAGTTGTTTGTCAAACTCATCAACATGTGCTGTAAGTAGCCTTGTAATCTTTTTGCTTTTTAGCACAAGTGTTTGATTAGCTTGTGCCATGGCGAGATGTGTGTCTGTCCATCCTTATGTCCATCACCAATTTGAAAGAAACACAATTTTTCATAGATTATTCATTAGTCTGGTTCTTCAACCTAACTGTGCTCAGGTCCAAGGTCGCATTTGCCATTTTACGAGGAATAACCTGGAAGTTGTGGCAGATCGTGTCCCATAAGTTCTGGTTTTATCTGCAGTTGTCCCAGAGATGAGCTGTCACAACCTTTGTCATTCAGGTTGAAACATCAGCATCTATTGTTGGACTGTGGGTCGAAGGGGCTAATGGTGGGTGTGCCTTTTTCCAGACAGTGGCTTGAGCTCCAATTTGGTGCACAGGCTCTGACCAGCTGTAATTTTCTGCTTTGAGCTCAATTGGAAAGCTTCTGAATCTACCCAGGAAACGTCCTAGCTGCTGCACGGAGTCAACACCCTGTTTGAGTTTACTGGTGATTTTGATTATAATAAATGTTAGTTGTACAGTATTTTTTAAAATAGAGTTTGCAAAGCAATTTGGCAAACAGAAAAAGCAGTTCCAGATAGAAAGCCAAATATTAGGGCCAAATAAGGTCAATACAATTAAGTTCAAGTGAAGACATAATAAAAAACAGAAAGTAAAATAAAAAATAATTAGCAGTAAAAGAGTAAAATATAGGGAAATAATAAAGAAGACAAGTGAAAGATGATAAACAGTTAATACAAGACTATAAAACACGAAATAAAATTGTAATGACGTCACAAAGGAGCAAGCCTGTAAAAATGTGCTTTGGAAGAAGTGGTTTCAAGGAAGTTTCTGATTTTTCAAGCCTAATTTCTGCAGTCATATCTTTATCTTTCTGTAGATTTAAGTTTGGGCTTTGAAACAACCAGACGGCCCCACCTAAAGATCTGAGGCTGCAAACTGGTTCGAAATTTCTTCTGTGCAGCTCGGTACCAAGCTGGTGCCTTAAAAATGATCATCTTAGATGTTAAAATCAACTCTAAAACATACAGGAAGCTAATGTAGAGAAGTCAAGACTGGGGTGATGTGATGTTGTCTGCTAAAACTTGCAAGAAGTCAATCTGCTGTTTGAGAAAATAAACATGGATCGCTTGTTCTAGTTCATAACTTATTTGATGTCTGGTTTAAAGATAGAAGCTGAATAAAATGTTACTCTAAAATGTATGAACAAGAGACAACTCCATGGGGTTGTACAAGAAGATTTTGTATTTTTAGGTACTGAGTTGAAGAAACTCTTGTGCCATCCAACATGCAGCCCTTCATGGTGATCTGAGAACCATGTAGGATTCTCACTTATTGGAGTCTATAGAGGATAATCTTTCTTTATTATGTGGTTTTGTCCTGGTGCCACAGTGAAATGTTGTGTCTGGTGAGCAGATGTTGATTGGGGCTTATTATAGCATTGCTCTACGAATTGTAAACTTATAGTTAAAAGATGCTAAAATGCCCTGCAAAGACAGTGGCAATTAGCTTCAAATTCACCACTAAAAGCAGCCCCTCTAATAGGAAATCATGTGACTTCTTTGTTTGTAGGAGCTGCTGTTTGTACTGTAGTTAATAAAAGCAACTTTAGACTATTTTAACAACTTACATATAAACCTGAGATTTGCTACACTTGTGCACAAGACCTATGCAAACCAGAAAAGATAGCTAATCTGTTAATGACTATCCTTATATTTAAAACTACTTGAAATGATTTTGTTTGTTAAGAAAAAGCATCTCCCATTCTTAAAATAATTGATTCATTTTCTGTCAGTGAACTAATCATTTCCCCTACAGTAATATCCTGGCAGCTCTCCTCTATAATTCACATCCTTTTGCCAAAAAAAAAAAAAAAAAAGCCAGTTTATCATACATGACACTATGTGTCTGTTTATGTCTACATGTCAGGGCTCATCTGCCACTGTCTCACATTTTGCATTATGTGGATTTAGTGATTCTTGCTGCATAGCAGCTGTTCTGTGGGCCAAGGACTCACTCTTCACAGGAGTCAGTGAGAAATGTCACTCAGTTTCTCTGCTGTAACTGCTCCAGAGCACAAACTGTCTCTGCATTGTAAATAAGGTCATACATTACAGCCTCTGGAGGGCAGCTTGGATTTCACTGTTCGTTCTGTTGTTGAGTCAGACAAATATTTTATACCTGCTCCTGTTGTTTGTTATTATTTATCCATTGTAGATGTGTGTAAAAGAAATCAATCTTTGAATGAAATGATTTAAAAGTATAGTATTGGGCATAGATCTGAATCATGTAACTGCTCCTGGGGCATGGACTGTTCAGACAAATAAAACAACCCCCCTGCCATGCAGTTGTTTTACATCTCGTAATAGTTTTTCTGGTCAGATTTTCCTGTTTGCAGTGCTGGCAATCAAATTGGAATATTAAAAATATAAGCAAAAACTTAGAAGCAAAAGCTATTTAAGGTTAGACAGTAATAAAAGCTTACATTTGTTTTTTCAAAGCTTTGTATTCTTGGTTGCCAGGGTGACACATCTTCGCTAAAGACAATATAATGTGACCTTCTTATAAACATAAACCAAAAAAAAAAAAAAATCCATAATGATTTCACAGTTTCCTGTTTTCTGTGAGACTGGGCTGGAACTTGTATGAAAAATCTGGAAAAAAACAGATGGCGTTTTGGATTTTCTTCCCCCCAGAATTCTGACATTAATTGCAGAATTCTGAGTTTTTGTTTTTATAATTCAGTTTTTTCTTTCTCAGAATTCTGCCGTTCCAAAAAACCCCCCAAAAAAACCTTCAAATTCTGTAGTTTATCAGCTGGGCTTTTACTGTCATTTAAAAATGGCTGTAACTTAAATACAATAATGAGCAAATGAAGACTCCAGGAAGTCTTTAATGTCAATCTACACTTCCTGACCACTGCAGTTCATTTGCTATAGAAGCTTGAACAAACATGCACAGCTTAGTCATGCACAGATGGACAGACACACACTTCGCATTTGACATCAGCTCCTTACCTTAACCCTTTCCCCTCTCAGCATTAGATTTACTGTCCACCATCATCTGCCTGAGATTAAGCATTCACTGTCATGTGACCCTCCTCTGGTTGTTTAACGGCAGGTGGAATAAGCGGTACATCACCCTCACTCTCACAGCACTGTTTGGATAGATGGATAATGATGTAAATGGTAAATGGTCTGTATTTATATAGCGCTTTACTAGTCCCTAAGGACCCCAAAGCGCTTTACATATCCACAAGTGTGTAAAGTAAAGATGGCGGTTTTGGTTTATTTATTTATTTATTTTAATGGAGCACATGAGTCAAAACACTTGGTTCCACCTTCCACAGAGCTGTCAGACTCATAGAGATCGGATGAGCTGCCTTTTTAAAAGTCTAAAGTTACTTTTGCAATTAAAATTCCCTCATTTGAATGGTAATTTAACTGCAGAAAACTGGTTATTTAAAAATGTATTTTAATATGCAAGCCAACAGATCAATTCGGTTTTATTTATAGTGTAGCACCAGTCAATAGTATCAACAATAGTCACCTCAAGAAGCTTTGTATTGTTGGGGTAAAGGTAAAGGTGCTACAATCAGAGAGAGAACCCCAGCAAAAGCACTTGGCGACAGAATAGAGATCACAGGCTCAGCGAGGAGCAGTCATCCAGCACGTCAGTCTCTCTAAGGTACACATGGGAAAAATACAACCCATAGCCTGGACACATCTCGGTTTAGCTAACACACATGTAAAAGAGAAACAAAAAGAATGCGGCCTTTTGCTCACTTCATCTAAATCAGCATCAGTAGAACTCTGGAATTAAAATGTTGGCCAAACCTGCTCTATGGGGACAAGTGAACCAGATAATGCCAGGAAACTTTTATGGAATACATTATTTTAAATGAACAGCTTATATGTTTCCCCCCCTATGTAATAATGTAAATAAAATGTCTAATAACTTTAAGTAGTACAACCTTTCAATCTGAAATGCACTATAAGTAGAAGTATAATACCTGAGCACTGTGGCTCTCTGATACTTGAATACATGCGCTTTCTATCACTAGACAAGAAGAGTAATTTAAAAGGCAGCACTGAACACAACTTGGTTGCATCTTTGGTCTGTAGTCAGAGTTGGGATTTAGGTTGCTGGGGGATTTCAGCGCGTTTCCTGGGTCAGTGGATTACCTTGTATGTGTTGGCTTGCATATGTAGAAGGAGGGGGTGTTAATCCTTGAGACAAACATGCAAACTCTTCCTGTGTTTTGTCTGTAACCCTGGAAGCTGAAAGGACATTTTTCCTCTGTTTCAGGTGTGAATAATGAGTCCCGTTCTTCCTGCTTGAACATGCAGCTTGGGTAGCAAAGCCGACTGACAGGAGCATCTACCTTCACGCGCTGCTTCCTCTTTGGACACACACACACTAACTGTGTCGGCTCAACTCAAGCACAGCCATGCTGATCAAGGAGTATCGGATCCCCATGCCTATGAGTGTGGAGGAGTACCGCATTGCTCAGCTCTACATGATCCAGGTGAGTAGTTTTCCTCACACAGCCTTACAAACATTACACATGTATTTAGGTTCATTTCACCTGGTTTCACTTAGATGTGGCGCTGCTACGGCTGGACACTATTAAAAACTAAGCATTTATATTAAAAGACGCATGTGTCATGCAATTACATGTTTATACACAGTCCCACGTTTTCAGAGATTCAATTAAAAGTGGAAAAATTAGCATCGTTTTAAATATAAGGTAAGTCAGTGAACCAAATGCAAATACAAGTGAAACACTACTCTACTTTACCTGCTTAAACGGCCCTCACCTGGCTGTGACACTCTTGTTTATCAATTCAGATGCTATTATCTCTGAAAATAGTGCACTGTGTTGTAATTCCTAATCAATTAAACCACATTTCTGGTTGTTTGGTCTACAATCCAAGGCAAAATTTAAAAAAAAAGTGTATTTGTCCAAACACTTACAGGTATGGACTGAACTGTGAACAGTAAAAATAAATTAGACACACTACAAGTAATTTGAATACTTTTTAATTTTCTAATTATTATATATTATTTTGTTATAGAATTTGGAGATAAAAGCTGCAGACAAGGTGTGTGTAAAATAAATAATGGCATCATTTTGGCTTCAGAATTTGTATTAAACTGTTTTAAAAATCAGAAATTGCAACTCATATAACTTGTATGCTCCCGTCTAGATGTCTTTTTCCTTTGCTGTAAAATCAAAACTTTAAATGAGAATTTGCATTATGTGATTTTTAAAATTCATTTATTTTTAAATAATTTATATACTCAAATATTTGTGGAGCATATTCTCTAATTTTTCTGTCTTCAAAGGAAATAATAAGTATACCTGAGACGAATTAAATTAAAAAAAAAATTATAGTACAGGGCGTAGAGTATTTTTCTTGACCTGGAGCACTAAACCAGGTAGAAGTTCAGGTTTTTTATGTCATGGTGGCAGAGGTCAGCTGTGTGGGTCTGTACCAGGACAAGAGCACTAAGGGAACATGAGTAAATGGTCACAGGGGCAGTGGAGTTCTGCAGAGCAGATGGTGCTCCATATGCCTGTGGCTTGTGTTTATCTTGGTAATTGTGTGAAAATACAAATGCAGATAGTTACAAGGGCATAAAAATGATCTCTCTGTGAGTTTTGTTTAGTAAACATAAGCAGGGAAATATTCATAACCACCATCTAGCCCTCATTGTGGTGTCTCATTGCTCTGTGTATTGTGTTCTAACAAAATGTTATTCAATATTCAATATGCTTGCAGAAAAAAAACAGAGTCTGGTACTAAAGTCCAAGACCACCAGAGGTCAGGTGACGGGGGAAGAAAATCTATAAATCCAGAATTTTGTGGTTGTCAGGTGCTTCTTGAACGCTTTGTGGTGTGTGGCCTGGCAGCAAAATTGCAGAATCATCAAAATCTTTTGTCCCCGCAGTTAGTTGTAACTGTGGATACACTACAAGTGTGCATGCATCCAACAAATATACTAGAAACTAGTATAATAAGAACAGCTGTTCATCTGCAGTGTCCAGAGCTGACCATGTGCGAGTATTCTTCCCTTCTGGGAATCAGTTCAGAGACCACTGAGATGCTCTGAGACTATTAGACAGCCTTCTTCTCCAGCCCTCACCTGTGCTGACTGGAGTCAAAATGTCTATCTGAAACGTAACTGGATTTTTGTCTCTCAGTGTACAAAGCCTGATGTATTGCTCTCTGTATGATGTGAAGCCTAGCCATGTTGTGACACACAGAAAGGCTTTTTTGCTCATAATAACTTTTTCACTCTTGTGAAATTCCTTTATTTCTTTTTATTTCTTTTTTGGCCAACGTCACTGTAGAGAGTAGTCAGGAAAGTGGGAAGATATGTAAAACATGGTCTGGAGTCGAATCAAACCCAGCTTTTTAGAATATGGGTCACCTGCTCAACCAAAGGAGCTATAGCACCACCATGTTCCTTTATTGCTTCAGCTGTGTTCATGAGATACAGCCATTTTTCTTAGAGGTGAACAATGGCTGCGGATTAATTTAGCTTAACAAGGGTTGATAAGACAAATTGTAAGTGAATTTTACAAGTTACGACTTGTATTCCTAAATGTTTTATTAAATTAAAGGTTTAGTTGGGATCCTCATACCTTCAGATTATTTCCATTTATACATGAAAGTGTTGCAGCTGTTTGATGTGGTCTCAGATATGCTGGACCTCACGGCATAAAAGCAGGTAGTGCCTGTTTGATATTTATGTTTTCCCCCAAACCCTCTAAATGTATTGCCACTGGCACATTAAGTAAGACACACACACACACACACACACACACACACACACACACACACACACACACACACACACTTGTGCTGGACGTTGCCTCTTGCTCACTTTCACAGCTGGGCACTAGTTGCCATGGTAACCAGTGACATCAGCTGCAGCAAGGCAGCAGCTGCCATCATTTTGTTTTTGAGAAAAAGAGCAAGTGAAAGGACAGCTGTGATTTAGTGAAATGTTGAGATATTGTTGGAAATTAAGTTACAACAGACAATTAAACAGGTAAGACCAAAAAATAAAATAAAATATTTTTTAACTCCTCGAGTTACCTTCCAAAAGGTAAAAAGCATTAAAATATCAGTTCAATCCCATCATCATGCATACTACAGGACTATTATCTAACATTCTTAAAAAAAATCACGTTAAGCTCCTCAAATGTGGAAATTATTAGATCAATTTATACAAGGTTGTAAATTTTTTCCTGACTATCTTCTGCTCATAAATACTTAAAAAAAAACTTATCCAAAATACACCAAGACAACAGGCGGGTTAGCAGCTCATCTTAGAAGACATTAAGCTGTGTATTTGTTCTGAAGACTCAGTTTTAGGAGACCTTTGATGATGTGATTGGAATCTACTGCAGTGTCTCTCCCAGGGAAATGAGAATTACGGCCTCTAAAGCTCCCATTCCCACTGGGATCATATCTGTTCTGTGATACGTTTTCACTTGTGCGTCTAAGTGTGGAGGACTGCAGTTGCAGAATATAGAAAATACATATGTAGCAGTTTTTGAATATCGAATGATTGTCTGGGTTTGTGTCAGTGCCAGTGTCAGTTTCTCTAGAAGCCATCTCACATATCATCCCTCACTTTTGTTAATTAGAGGTCATTAAAAACTATCTACAGGAAATTATCAACCCCTGGGCTTTGTCCTCTGGGGACCATGATTTGTCCACAGGAGATTATTACAGTTTTTTCTACTTGTTGGTGGATTTTCCATTGCATTTTTGTTTTACTTCAGCAGCAAGCTGACAGTAACCTTTTGTTTGTGGCCAGTGTCAGATTGACGCACTGGATTTGAAAAATGACCAAGGTAGGAGATGTGTGAAGCCTTTGAGCAGCCACTCATAATGTTTGATGCATGAGGTTCTACTAAGGCACCAAGAGCTGAGGAGAGGAGTTAGCTACCCCTGGTTTATGCTAACCTTGTGTTGTCACATAAATTATTCAGAGACACTTCAGCCTGGCAGACTCACGACCCTCAGCAAAGCTGGGTTATTACAATTCACAGAGGGAGTCGTCCGAGTGTCTGCATAAGCTAGCAGCAGTTCTCAAACTGGACATACAGATAAAGTCAAGGTCAAATTTATTTATATAACACAAATGTATCTATATAGTGCATTTAGAATAACAGAGTTCAACAAAGTGTTGTAAATGAAAATATATAGCCAAGTTTTAAAAGTTTTAAAATCCAGTAAAATAGAATCCAACACACCAGATTAAAAGACAATAAATAAAATAAGATCAAATAAAATAAAGTAAATGCAGACCATAAAATGCAATAATCTAAAGTGATGTCACACTGGAGGAAGAACTAGAGCCTATCCCACCTGCTATAGGGCGAGAGGCAGGGTACACCTTGGACAGGTTGGCAGTCTGTTGCAGGGCAAACACAGAGATACAGACTAGCATTCACTCTCACATTCACACCTATGGGCAATTTGGAATTACCAGCCAGATGTGATGAAAATCTGAAAGTAGAAAATTTTTCCACAACCTGATCAACATTACACCGCTTCTCACCAAGACAAAATTAAAAATACTAAAGAGCAATTGAGGCCTGTGACTGTTATTAGAAACAATATTTGAGAAGTAAGCAGACATGACTGTTAAACGGTCATGTAAGATCTCCAAGGAGACCTGGAGCTTGTCCTTTTTCTATTTACTCAGCATGTCTACACTCATGTCTGTGGGTTGTGTTATTCAGCAAGGGCTGAAAGGGGGATATAGTCCAATACAGCAGTGCAGGGCTTCAGCTAACAACTCTGAGTTTGTTAAACCTGAGTGGGTTTTAGAAAGAGAGTTATCTTCAACTCTGAAGATAAAACTATAAAACTGAACTCTGAAGTGGGGTAACAGAAATATATTTGGCCCTGTACTAGCCAGCTCAACATATCCAGGGTATCTTTTTGTTAGCTGTATTCACTTACCCTAATGTTGACAATCAGGGTAAGCAGTCAAGTTAAGCTGGTTATCAATTCGGTAAATTAACCCAGGGTTTTCTTGCACGCACATGAAAGAGGTGGTGTTGGCAGTCCCAATCTAAAAGGATTGTTTCATGGGTAATATGATTTTTCTTCCACAGAAAATGATCCCCATATGAGTGCCACCTACAACATGATTAAAAATCTATAAGAAACATAAAAATATAACAGTCAAATGCAACACTATTATAAAAAGGACAGTCGTTAGTCTGGTAGTTTAGTTCACAGAGGGGTAAAATAAGGATTTTTAAGGGTTTGATAATAAAGATTAAAAATAAAAACAGAATTCAAACATAGGCTTAGTCTATACACAAATGATATGAGGTCTCTAAGTAGAGTGTAGGTGTCCTGTTTTAGAATCAGATATTATTGCTAATAAAACAATAAAATTGTTTTTAATTTTTTTGCAGAACAAAGCTTAGTAAACTATACAAATTTTTGAATTTTAAAGCTGACAAATGAAATGCATTCAAATTCTGAGTTT